ATCAACAAGTGGCAGCACTATCCATCTAATCAAGCTGAAAATCTTGGAGTCTTCCTTGATTCCTAACCTCTCTTACATTTAAACTCCAATGCATCAACAAAATCTGTCATCAACAATACTTGTAAAATCCACCCATATCTCACTTCCCTTACCTCTAATCACTATTACCTTAAGCGAACTTAGGATTTTTCTTACTTGTACTTCAGCAAAAGCTTCCCTTATCTCATCTTCCTATTTCTACTTTTGCCTACTTGTACCCTCTCTACACAGCATCTAGAGTTACCCGTTCAAAACATGAGTCAGATCCTGGCCCAAGTCCTCAAATAGGTTGCCATTACATTAGAATAAATAAATAAATAAATAAATAAATAAAGGGAAGTCCTGAAAAAGTCCAATAATATACTAAGTGCTTTGTTGATTATTAGAAGTCTTCATTGACCAGAATACATGTCTACACAAGAAGGAACCTTGTCTGCTTTGGTCAGTGCTATATTCCTAGAGACTAAACAGAGTCTAGGATATAATAGGTATTAAATGTATATTTCATTTTAGTCAAAATAGCAAATAGCTTAAATATTATCTTTCACAAGTGACTAACTAGTGCAATTCTCTAGGCATATCAAAAACAACAACAACATGAAGTACATTTCCAGTTACTCCTTTGTGGCTATAGCCATTGATAGCATATATTTATTATTGTCTTAGATTAACATTTACATAAAGTATGTAAAAGCTTGAAATTTCATATACACAAATATGATTTATATTATTCAAAGAAGTTAGTCTGCTCCAATTTATTTTATATATTCTTTTTAGCATGGCTTTCAAATGGGTACAACATTCAATAGAAACACTATTATATTTTTGCTTTTTTGCATCAACCCAAAGCTCTTCACTATTATATTTAGCACAAGGTAGATGATACAACTGACCTAAAATATGTTGTAACCATAAGGTAATAGCATTTGTAATTGTCATGGTCACATTTTTACTTATAAGGAATATATCAAAAGTCTTTTAAATTATTTTAAACACATAATACATATTATGCTTTAATCTCTTTATGAAAAAACAGCTGAATGATGTCTGAAATATGCCTGGTTTACATAATTGTATAGAAATAAGTAAAAAGAAACAGCTACTGCCTCTTTTTTCTACCTGTTCTTTAACTAAGGCTGCATCAAAGATTATCTGCACTGTTGAGTAATTAATATGATGAGATCAAGTCAAATCCATATGCTCTGTACCCCATCAAAAATAAACAATATGAAAAATTTTATCCAGATTCCAAGAAGATCTGTCATACAACAAGTCCTCTATTGCATGTTTATGTACAATTCTTTTCTATCAATTAATTATTGAATATGTCAATGGCAAAATTTTAAATTACTGTGAAGGTATAATACCTTTGCAGTTGAATTCAATGATCTATGGAATAAGCTGCAATTTAGACCATTAAAATAACTAAGGTTATAGCATACCTCAGAAAATTCCACAGTAATCATATATAACAAAACTAAGACATTTTTTCAACAGTAAAAATGATGACCAAGTCAATAGGCAATCTAGGACCATATGTTTGCAAATGGAGAACACGATTGATTCTAGAATACCAACAAAAGTATTATTTTAATCAAAAGAGAAAACTATTTGGGTAATCTACTCCACTCTCAATGTGCTTATGGGATTCTAACCAGTGCTTGTGGGATTCTAACCAGTGCAATTCTCTAGGCATATCAACAACAACAACAACATAAAGTACATTTCCAGTTACTCCTTTGTGGCTATAGCCATTGATAGTATATATTTTTTTATATATACTGAAATATATATCTATATTAAAATATATCTATATTAATATATATATATATATATACTAAAATATATATATTTCCAAACTTAATGGGTATCTTGCACTTTTAGGAGGCCTCACACTAGAGGCCTAATGAAAATAAAAATCTAGACAACAAATGTGAAACTTACATGCCACCTTGCTCTGTGTTATGCAGCTCTTCATGATTTTTTGGGAACACTGCAGTATATGTAGTAAATTTATTTTGGAATAAACATTTATGGGACACTCATAAATCTGCTCTTTATATCCTGTACACTGCACATGCAGAAGGTATATCACCATAGAAAAGTTATAATTAAATATTTCTAAGTAAAACAAACCCACTGATGTTCAAACACCTTAGCACCTCTGATATTTCCTATAACTACTGCTCTTAATACTGAGTTCTAATCAATTTTATAATAAAAACCAGTGATCCTGATCTCAGGAGTAGTGTTCTCAATTTTCCCTCAATAATTGCAATCTCATTTTTTTTTAAGGCAGCCAAGTCTTTTTTTGAACGAAAATGTCAGTGGTAGAATTATTTAGGCGTTCTCTGCATGAATGCTTGACATTTTTTTCTAAGCCAACAAGTATTTCAAGTCAACAGTAAAGAAGGTCTACTAATTGAAAAGCATCTGAGTACAACTTTACTCTTTGAATAGAACGATCTTGTTTTCCTTTCAATGGTACAGTACATTAAAATAAAGGATAAAATTAACGTCATTATGTGTTCCTAATAGAGATAATTAAAATAAGTGGTTATGTAATCATTTATTTTAATAAGCTACTGATAAAAAATAACTTTGAGAAGAAACTTAGAAACAATAGCTAGTAATAAACCATCATGAAGCTTACACTTACCCTTAAATTAAATTAGGTCTTCATTGTTCTTACAGATGTAGAATTCTATCAATTAGCATTTATCACTGAACTTTATTTCTACTGTACTATAATTCTTACCAGTAAAAAAATTCCCTCATTCTTTATTTCCCAAGCAGGACCAAAACAATTGTGATTTTACCAACTGATTCTGGTTATACATAAGAATGAATACTTCATACTCCAGCATGTTGTTGTACCTATGGACTACCTTGGTCTCTTTTGAATACTACTATATGAACGTTAGCTATTTTAAGCCTGATTTTATGATGTCTAATGTCTTACTTGGGTAAGACATTAGAGCTCAAAGATCTTGTTAACTTATTTAGGTTTTTATCGATTGAATTTTATGGTCCATATTTTCCAATCCTTTAAACTGTTGAATTTCAAGTCATTTAAAGTGCTTTAAAGATAGAGGATTTTATACACACTGCTATTATTTTTTAACTATATTTTATAATCTGCTTATATCAACTACACTTTTTCTTGTGCCAAAATATTTCTTAATACCCAACATATTATCTTTCCCTGATATTCAAAAGAAACTAGTTCTTTTTTTTTTTCCAATGCTTACTTCTTAACTTGTGCTCACAAATCTACTTCTTCTATTTTCCATCTTTACCCTTCTAGGACTTCCTTCTACTCTGCCTTCAGAAGCGACATTTGTTTCTAATTCATCTAAATAGAAGCTTATTAATACCATTTTCATCAGTGTTCTAAAGTCCTCAAAGGCTCCCTAGAATATCAAGGTTATTCTAATATCTGATGGAGGGTGGCATTCATACTTTTCACCAGGGTGACCCAAAATGGCTTTTCCATAATTTTTGCCAAAAGAAAATCTTTGATTTTATTAGGTTGACTATTTTTTGTTGTTGTTGTTTCATGTGAGAGACTTTGCCATTTGTTTGACTGATTGAAGACTGATGGAGTCATTATTTCCAATTGTGGTTTAGTCCATACCTTCACTGACTTTTGACAATGCTGTAAATTTCACTTTATTACCTACATATTTCTTCATGTACCTGATTTCCAAGATTCAATTCAAATTCTGTCTTCTCTATGAAGTTTCTATTGTACCCTATATAACACCAAATCTATATTTTTCTGATTACAAATATTTTATAGGGTAATTCCTTGCCTAGTGCTTAGCTATAGAACTACTCTAATTTATATTGATATTCATGTTTACACTTTCATTCTTTCCTTCAAAAAACAACTTAAAGCTGCTTTGTCAGTCACTCTAGTGGGTCAAAGGAATATATATAATTTAATCAAAACTCTTAATACAAAGTGACCACTGTTTCAAAGATGTTATGATGTTAATATATGTATAGATTCACTACACAAAAGGTCATGTTAAGGATCAAAACAGCATACTACAGGGACACAGCCACATCAATGTTTATAGTAGTACAATTCACAATAGCTAAACTGTGGAATCAACCTAGATGTCCTTCAATAGATGAATGGATTGTTTAAAAAGTGGCATATATACACAATGGAATATTGCTCAGCAATAAAAGAGAATAAAATCATGGCATTTGCAGATAAATAGATGGAGTTAGAGAATATAATGCTAAGTGAAGTTAGCCATTCGCAAAAATCCAAATGCCAAGTGTTTTCTTTGATATAAGGAGGCTGATTCTTAGTGGGATAGGGAGCGGAATCATGGGAGGAATAGAAGAACTGTAGAAAGGCAGAGGGGTGGGAGGGGAAGGGAGGGGACAGGGGGTTATTAATGATGGTGGAATGTGATGGTCATTATTATCCAAAGTACAGGTATGAAGACACAAATTGGTGTGAATATACTATGTATACAACCAGAGATATGAAAAACTATGCTCTATAAGTAATAAGAATTGTAATGCATTCCACGGTCTCATATATATATATATATATATATATATGAATCAGAAGACTTGTGTTATCTCAGATCAAATGTTGACTATTTTGAGAGTCAATCCTAGCATGAATTCTAAAATTATGTTTTCTAAAACACATTTCAGCATTCTCACTATTTCCAGTATATCTGACTAGTAGGCAGAAAACTATGATTTGCTGATAGTTACTGATATCCAAGGTATTCTAATTTAAAAAATGCATCTTACAAAAACAAAACTTACATGTCAAAACTGTAGAAGCAAAGAAAGAAATCAGAACAATAGATTGAAACACATACACTTCTCCTTGCGTATTAGTAATTATACAACTTAAACACATGCAAATTATTGCTATGACCCATTATTATCAAAGCACATATATTAACCCTCTATGTTTTACATACCTGTCCAGTCTCCTACTATTTTAAGATGAACCCCAAATGTTGCTTTGGTTTCAGTAGGACACTGAAAAAAAATAAATTCTGGAATTAATTCTGATTAATAATTATACATTACCTGACTATGATTTAATCACAACATTCATTTTCATAAATTAGTAGATAATGAGAGAACAGACTTAAATCTATACGGACCCTCATTTCATAAAGAAAAAGCAATGCTAACTCATCAATAAGATACTCTATATTTCTCAAAAACTTATAAATACTTACATAAAACAATAAAATACATACAATCTGAAATTGCTAGTACATTGTATTTAACTACAAATTCTGCTAAATCATCTTCCATTTAAAATATATAATAGGAGCCAGGCTTCCTCATAAACCAAGAAATGAATACTAATGATTTCTGTGTATTCTCCTCCAAATATTATTATATACTTCACATTGTGACAAATTAGAGAGAAAAAAAAATTCTAAATGTGACATGACCTTGCCATGTCCATTTAAGTATGTTCACATTTAAAATAGTTCTATTTCCTTCCTTCCTTTCATTCTCAAAAGGACTCTCGAGGATACCCATGGAAGAAAATTAGTTGTGGAACCAGAGGAAAGAAAAAGTGTCTGTGATCCCATACTTAAAAATCTAGAAAGCATGCAGGTATTCAAAATAAGGAAAAAAAATCAGACCACAATAAATAAGGCAGTAAAGAACCCCCTTTTTTCTAGATTCTTAGCCTTTTATCCATAATTTCAAACCTTAAAAGTTTGAATAATGAATGTTTTCATAATCCATTTGGTGGTACTATCACACCTCTGACCTCAACTGATGGAAGACTGAAGATAGGAGATTCATATTTCTTTTTTTTAATTTATATATGACAGTGGAATGCATTACAATTCTTATTACACACATAGAGCACACTTTTTCATATCTCTGTATACAAAATATATTCATACCAATTTTTGTCTTCATACCTGTACTTTGGATAATAATAACCATCACATTCCACCATCATTAATAACCCCATGCCTCCTCCTTTCCTCTCCAACCCCTCTGCCCTATCAAGCGTTCATGTATTTCTCCCATGATTCCAATCCCTAACCCACTAAGAATCAGTCTCCTTATATCAAAGAAAACACTTGGCATTTTGATTTTTGCGATTGGCTAACTTCACTTAACATTATCTTCTCTAACTCCATCTATTTACCTGCAAATGCCATGATTTTATTCTCTTTTATTGCTGAGCAATATTCCATTGTGTATATATGCCACATTTTTTTAATCCATTCATCTATTGAAGGGTATCTAGGTTGGTTCCACAGTTTAGCTATTGTGAATTGTGTTAGTATAAACATTGATGTGGCTACGTCCCTGTAGTATGCTGTTTTTAAGTACTTTGGGTGTAGACTGATTATCAAAATGGCCATACTTCCAAAAACACTATACAGATTTAATGCACTTCTAATCAAAATCCCAATGACATTCCTCATAGAAATAGAAAAAGCAATCATGAAATTCATCTGGAAAAATTAGAGACCCAGAATAGCTAAAGCAATCCTTAGCAGAAAGAGTGAAGCAGGTGGCATCACTATACCAGACCTTAAATTACACTACAGAGCAATAGTAACTAAAACAGCAATGATATTGACACCAAAACAGACTGGTAGACCAATGGTACAGAATACAGAGACTAACCCACAAAATTACAATTATCGTATATTAGACAAAGGTGGCAAAAACATACATTGGAGAAAAGATAGCATCTTCAACACACGGTGCTGGGAAAACTGAATCCATATGCAACATAATGAAATTGAACCCCTATCTCTCACCATGCACAAAACTTAATTCAACATGGATCAAGAACCTAGGAATTAAACCAGAGACCCTGCATCTAACAGAAGGAAAAGTAGGCCCTAATCTCCATCATGTTGGAGGAGGCTCATATTTCTATATAATTCACACAGAATTATTGTCCTAAAGAATTACCAATTTGTTTACAAATGTTGACTCACTTATTGGAAGTTTTAAGTAACATATAGAATATGTATACCATTTAAAGACCATGAATAATTATGGATTCTGAAAAAAAACATTTAACCTAAGGGTTTTGTATTAAGAGCTCATCTGCCTGTGGTGACTCAGTTTTGTTTAAGTGGCATTTACCAGAGCTGGTGCTATTTTACTTCCAAAATCTCACAATAACCTTGCAGAGCTGCCTTATATTAAAGAAGTAATTGAGACTGAAAAGGAATTAAATTACAAGATCATACAACTAGACAAGATGGAATTTAGACTAGATCTATTAGACTGCATGGTTTTTAACTGTGGCAAGCCATTGTCTTCATTAAAGTAAAGATAGGGAATAGAAGTAGGGATTACATAAAAAATCAAAAGAGTCAGAAGAAAAAAGATACTTGTTAAATAATAGTAGAATGTATGTAAAACAATATAAATCAAGGATAAATGGGAGGTCTTAAAACAAAGATGAAAGAAGATGGCAGTGTTCTGACAGGCCCCACGATTACATAAAGAAAATTCAAGACCTCAGAGCCAACTGGATTGACCAATTGATGTGGATCATTTAAGACTGCTCTATGAAAAGGAGATTAGAAGAAAATAATACTTTGTAGATAGGTCAAAAACTCATTAAAGAGTGAAAGAAGTTTGTAAATCAATGAAAACATTAAATAAAAATGTAGATATTAACCATCTGCTCAGAATAAATTATAAATTAACTAAAAGCATATGACCTATATTGAAGGAGGGGAATTAATGTAGCATGGAATTTCCAAACTACTACTTTAAAAATCAGGTTTTCTGATAGGATTATTACTGGTAACAGTAGTAAGAGACACAAGACAAATTAAAATGTCTTAAATGATATTTGAAACATCATTAATACTAATTTAATTATAATTTGCACTTATAATTATGATTCTGTATTTATTTAATTTACATTCTCTATATTAATAGCTCTGATAGTAACTAGTGTGGTCATTAGTAAATTTCCAAATAAAATTATATCTATAAATACTATCTACCATTTTTATTCCATACTATTTAAAGCTGACCAAAACCTTCCAGTAGCTTGCAGAAAGCAAGAATCTCAATAGAGTTCTGAACTATCAATCTGATTACCCAAATGTCATTTGATCTTTCCTTCATTGGAAACTAGATCTTAAGTTACATAATGTGCCAGGTGCAGTGGCATACAACTATAATCCCAGCAGCTCAGGAGGCTGAAGTAGAAGGTTTGCGAGTTCAAAGCCAGCCTCAGCAACTTAGTGAAGACCTAAATAACTTAGCAAGACCTTGTCTCTATATAAAATATAAATTAGGGCGGGAGATGTGGCTTAGTGGTTAACCTGAGTTCAATTCCTGGTACCAAAAGAAAAAAAAAAAGAAAAGAAAAAAAGAAAGAAAGAAAAGAATGTAATGTAAGCCAAGAAATCAGAATGGAGTACAAAAAAGATTTATCATTGTATGTGCCTTGGTGTACAGCTGGCTTTAACTTAATCTCATAGTGAATTCTAAAAGAAAGTATACATATTTCACCAAATAGTCACATCTGTTCCATGCCTTCACTGCAGAAATTGCAAAAGGTAATTGCATATAATGTTTAACATCCCCTCAGGTCTCATAGAAGACTACAAACCTTCCTCTATAATGTGTTGGATGAATCTATACACATAGCTTCAGAGGCTGGTCTAATTTTTAATGCATAAAAATGGTAGACTAGCCTCTGAAGCTAGTCTAATTTTTAATGCACAGAACAAAATGTTTTTCTCTCAACTTCTTAGGAATTATGTCTCTGTATGTCACTGATTCATCTCTCAACTAGCTAGAATTTAAGAGACAGATCTTAATACATTTTTACTTAGGGATATCAACACATATTTGAAAGGGCCCTTCACAGAAAAACATACAGGATGAATTTAGCATATATGGTATGAAAATAATGAATGAAAATCTTCCTTAAAATTTCATTTTATTACCTGTGCACAAACAATATTCAGATTCACTAATGTCTAAACCATAGTGTCCTGATTCTTAAAATCTTTCTCACTGATATTGTAATAGTATGGAAAACTTCTCCAAGAGAAAAAATAATAGAAATGTTGATATATTGTTTCTCCTAGAAATATATGCTCAGGACAATTTTCAGTTAAGAATTATGGAAAAACGTGTGGTTAAGTTCACATTAAGATAAAATGGATGATATTTACAAGTTTCTCTTTATTAAAAAATATTTGAAGAGAATACATAATAAGCTACTAAGAATATTAACTGCTGGGAAGTAAAATTGAAGACAGAGAAAATGAGAGCTCACATAATTATTTCATATACATCTATTTTTAATTATAGACCATTGTTGTCTATAATTTTAAAATATTTTAAAATTTTAATTTACATGTAGACATTAATACATTACTGAGTCTTACTTCAGTTTCCTAAATGCAGAATATGGGGTGTATAGGCCCCAGATAGATAGATAGATAGACTCCTAACTGGAGTCACTGGCAAACAGTACTTACCTTAGTGTGCCTGTGTTTCTAAAGAAATTTATCTTCTAAAATACACTGAGAAGCCTATATTCATAAAACCTAACTTTACCATGACCCCAACAGATCCTATCAGGAATTAATCCCACAGACCTTTCTTTCTTGACATATTTTTTTTTAATGTTTTGGTTGTAGATGGACACAATATCAAATACATATCACCTAAGCTTAAAGACAGAAGAAATGAAGAATGCCAAAATCGATCTGTAATGATAAACCTATAGGAATATATATTTTTATACCTTAGTTAAAATAATCTTTTCTATCCAATTATTTGTTCAATATGGCATTGAGTTTTTAATATGCAGAAATGACTAGTGACTTCATAATAGTCTCACAAAAATATTAAAAGATATTGTGTAACTCATATTTGGGAATTAATGTAAAAATGATTTGCTGCACAAATATTCCTTCAACATGGAAAAGTAATTTAACAGCTGCAGTGCTTTCATTTGTAAATCAAGAGCCTTGAAAAAATAACTAAAATTATTCAAA